TTGATAATGTTACTTGGAAGGACTGTCATTGAGTACCATGAGGCTATTACACAGGTACTAGCAGTACCTGTCACTCATCTTGCATTCAGACTTAGCTCTGCTCAGCACCTAATTATTTAAGTGGCATACTGAACCCTGTCCCATCCAGAAATCAAAGAGCAGCAAGTGAGGAGAGCTGAGAAAGTGGTGATTCAGCTCTAGGGTAAAAAGGAGTTAACCAGGCAAGAGAGAAAAATGTTGCAGATAGAGGAACAGAATGAATAAAAGTCCAGTGGCAGGTGAGGGCATGGTGTGTTTTAGGAATCCAAAGGATAGTGTGGCTAGAGTGCAGAGCAAGGGGAGAATTATGAGAGAAGAGCAGCCAGAGAACAAGTCATACAAAGTGTTTCTCTAGCCAGGTTAAGAGCTTTGCTTTTTAGCCTAAGGGGTTAGCCAGGGGAGGAGGTGATGTGATCTGCCTTTGTTCAATCTCTCTGGCTGCCGTCCTAGGGATGGGCTTCGAAGGGTGGACCAGAATGGGTGGCAAGGTGGCCAGTGGAAGTAGGCCAGGTGAAAAATGTGGACTTGGGCAGTGACAGTGGAGGCATGCTGAGAAGCCAGCGGATTCCAGAAAATTGACAGTACCTGGTGATGAATTGGATCAGCATGAGAGGGCAGTGTTATGAGTGAGTAGGGGAGGAACAGTTATTCCCAAGAACATTAAACCTAACAATACACAAATGTGAGCAAGTACTCCTCCTGTACTCATATTGTATCATGAGTGCATGTATATAATAAACTCAAGGTCATTGCCATATTCTTTACTGTTCTGTCTAGTTATGAGCATTTTACTCATGATTTTATGTATTTTCTCAACTAAGAATAGATTATCTATTGTAAGAGTTCATGAATCTGGCTGGAAATTGGTTGTACAATGTGACTGTATTGGAAGGTTGCTTGATACTACCTTATAAGGTAAATACACATTTCTGAGATTTATTATAAATATTACTGATAACTGTGTATCAGTCACTACAGCAGGCAAAGAAAATGCAGAGATAGAGTCATATGAGTACAATTTGCAAGTGGCTTTCAGTCACGTGTTTTGTTTGTTTTAAAGCACTTGTGGATCGATTTGCAGGACCTACTGGACAGTGGGGAAATAAGATGATTCTGCAACTTCATTTTAATGTCTTTTTTTTTTTTAGCTGAGCCATCCTGCCACCTGTTGGCAGCTCAGCGGCAGCTCAGCTTGGGCTGGACTCGAACTGCTGTTGCTCAGAGCTCAAATCCTTGAGCAAGCTCTTAACCAACTGAGCCACTCAGCCGGCCCTAATGTCTTCTTTTAAAAGGTGGGAGGTGGATGAATTTGTGGAGTGAAGTAGACGACAGGTGATCAAATTAAACAGACCACTTTGATAGTAGAGGAAATAAACACTGCTGTTGGTTGTTTAGGGTAACACTGACCCATCTCTTCAAGCTCTTGAGTCCCACCAAGATGATATTTTAAAACGTCTATACGAGTTGAAAGCCGCGGTCGACGGTCTCTCTAAGATGATTCAGACACCAGATGCAGACTTGGACGTAACCAACATAATCCAAGCCAGTGAGCCCACTGCTTTATCGGCCAGTGCATTAGACTTAAATTCAGTGCTTGGAAAGGTAAGCTCCTTTGGAAAGCTAAAGAACATCAGCATGCTAGGTTGCTGTCAGTGCCAGAAAATTGTGCTACTATGAGTGAAGTCTTGGTTTTCTCGTTTTCAAAGGTGGTACAAAGAGCAAGTTCTTTTCTCTCCCCTAAATGATTGTCATTGCACAGAGCAGCTTCAGGGGCTATGAGTGAACCCAAAGCAAGCGCTAAGGCCGCTTCTTCTCAGACACAGTGGAGAAGAGTGGGGTGGGTCAGGAGGCAGAGGAGGATGTCGCATTCCAGCTTCTCGCCATTCCAGGCAGCATTGCAGCAGCCTGAGCCCCAGATCTTTAATCATTCGCTCCTGCTCCTCAGAGGTCTGGCAGAGTCAGCCCAGACTCTGAGAGGAGCCTGAGTTGCAGAGCTTTAGCCCAGGCATAAAAATCCCACCAAAATCCCATTTTTAAATATATCACTAAAAGCCGTATCACAGCCTCTAATTTCAAGTGTATTTTGCTTAAATTCAGTTTGCTTTATTAAAATTAACTTGTATCAGCAACCTTTAATGATCAGTCTACAGGCTACAGCTAACATAGAGCATAATCTGATAATGTCTTACTATACAGTGTTACTTATTGGAGGGTGCAAAAGAGTTTGTCCCAAGAACTCCTGCTAATACCCTCTAGAACAGGTGATAGAAATGGTACAACATAAGGCCTGACAAGTGGAGGCGGTCCTATAGTTCTCCCAGAGCTGTTTTTGCTACCTCGAGACCAATGTACTGTATTCCTTTATCACCCAGTACATGTTGCATGCACACATCTTAGTGAGACCTGGCCAGGCCTCCAGAGAGCCAGTCTAGTTGATGAGTCCGTGCCCACCCACAGCTGTGCGGTCTCAGGGTGCTGGGAAGGCTCCCCAGAGCACATGGTCTTATGAAGTATTGTGATCCCTCAGAAGGCACAGCTGTTCAGAGCTGCAAAGCATCCACTGTAGCTCAGTGTGAAGGGCCTCGGTCAGGAGAGGCCACCAGAGGCCAGGTTGTGGCAGGCTGTGGACAGAAAACTAGGGAACTTGGCCTTCATTGTGTTCTCTGAGTTCATTCATTAAGAGTGAATGTATAGAAATAAAGTCACATCTGGAAAGGCAGGGTGTTTGGACACCTCAGTTAACACCTCGTGTTTTAGACTCGCCCTTCCTCCCAATGATATTTTGAGCCAAGACTCTTTCACAAGAGACGCTTCATTGACACATTGATGGTGAGGCGATCCTGTCAGGTGGTCAGGTGTTAGGGAGATTTGGTAAATGTGGTCCTCGTCCCCCGGTACCCGCAGGGGATTGGTTCAAGGATCTCCCGTGGATACTAAGATCCATGCTGAGTCCTTTACACAAATGACGTAGGACAATGCATACTGTCGTCCCTCTGCATCCGCGGTCTCCGAACTGGGGATCAAAAATAGTTTTCAACCTTGAATCTGAGGATACGAAACCTGCAGAGACAGAAGGCCGACTGTAATTGCATGTGATTTGTTTTAAACTTAGGGACAAATAGAAGTGTCATTTGTAGTATGTTGTTTTACTGATTTGACAGTGAAGTCAACTTTTTGTCAGGAGCCAGCAGTGCAGGGGTTAAGGGGTTGACGTCAGCTCACAGGCCAGCTCCTGAGCGGGTGACCTTGGATGAGTCACGGTCTGTGTCTCCCCAGGACTCCTTTCCTCAGCTGTGAGGCGGGATAGTCAGTCAGCACCGTCTCCATGGCAGTTAGGTGCTGAGAACAGCGCCCAGTACACCTCACACTCAGATTGCTGTTAACATCCTTTGCTCCGTTTGGATTTCTCCCCCAGGATTACGGGGCACTCAAAGACATTGTGATCAACGCGAACCCCGCCTCGCCTCCCCTGTCTCTGCTCGTGCTGCACCGGCTGCTCTGCGACCACTACAAGGTTCTGTCAACCGTTCACACACACTCAGCAGTAAAGAACGTGCCAGAAAACCTTCTCAAGTGCTTTGGCGAGCAGACGAAAACACAGTCCCGCCATGAGTATCAGCTGGGTTTTACTCTCATCTGGAAGAATGGTAAGAAGAGGGGACTGGGTCCGACTCACATCCTACATGGTGAAACATGCACCATGGTGTTAGTAAGCGGCAGCAAGTCTAGGACCGGGACGTTTCTTCAGCTACTGGCTGTCAGGTCAGAGCGGTGCTTCTAGAAGAGGAGCCCAGGTGCAGGTTGACCGAAAGGTGTCCTCCTTCCTCTGGGCAGGTTAGGGTCTTTGCTGGAGGAGTTTTAGGGGAGATCTTGTCGAAGCAGCCAGGGCAGGGGAGTAGCGGCTGTCAGCCATCTTGCCCTCACATTCCACAACCTATCATTACAGGGACATTCATGTCATCTTTTCAAATGGCCATAAAAGGATGGCAGGATACCAGTTATTCATTATCCCACCGATGTATTCCTCCCCTGATTAAGCGTATACAGAGGGAAGGGAGTTAATGTTGTCCGTGAGTAATGCCTTAACTGCCCTCAGCTACATGTCAAGGGAGCAACGGCAAGGGTACGAAGAGTGTCTGACCTGGGAGATGGGACCCCTGGTTTCCAGCCCTCATCCTGCAAATGCTGAGGCACAGGGGTTAGAGTAGTTGATCCGGGGTCCCTTCTAGCTTGACAATTGTCATAATCAAATGCCAGAAACGGTCACTTTTTAACATTTTGCATTCTTTAAACATAGTTTAAACTTTCTTGAATACTACACCTTTTGGAGACTAAAAATGGGATTTTCTTGAAAATACACTTGCCCTTGCCACCAGTTCCTGTGAGTGAATCCCCCTCCCACACTGCAAATCCTCCCTTCCGGGGCGCTGTTCTTGTTGACATGACATGGTGTGTTTTCCTTTCAGTGCCAAAGACACAAATGAAGTTCAGTGTCCAGAGAATGTGCCCCATCGAAGGAGAAGGGAACATTGCCCGATTTTTGTTCTCTCTGTTTGGCCAGAAGCATAATGCTGTAACATCAACCCTCATAGATAGCTGGATAGATATAGCTACTTTTCAGTTAAAAGAGGGAAGCAGTAAAGAAAAGGCCGCTGTGTTCCGCTCCATGAACTCTGCTCTCGGGAAGAGCCCCTGGATCGTCGGGAATGAACTGACCGTGGCTGACGTGGTGCTCTGGTCTGTGCTCCAGCAGACGGGGGGCTGCAGTGTGCCCGCGCCCGCCAATGTGCACAGGTGGATGAAGGCCTGTGAAAACCTGGCCCCATTCAGCACGGCCCTCAAGCTCCTTAAATGAAGCTCAGGAACGGATTTTAAAGGGCCTAAATTTTAAGAAGGATGCTGTTTCGTGCTGGTTGTTGGTAAACAGACTTGTACTGAAATCAAAGTCTTTAGGCCAGTTGTCAAGTATCAATAAAAGCACTGTATGATTTGTGCTTTTCACTTTATTTAAAATTCAGCAACATCATCATGTGCAATGTGCCGTGACAGGCTCCAGCTATGTGGCAGGCACCTGGGGGTAGAAAAGTGAGCAGACCACACCGCTGCCTTTGAGGGACATGGTGGGGTTAAGTGCGAAACAGAACACCGCGAACGGTGCAGGGGCAAAAGCAGGACACTGGGATTGGTGCTGCTGGGAGATCCTTTTGGAGACAAGAAGTACAAAGCTTTGAAAGGACATGATTTTGGAATGATGTGAAGTTGAAGATGAAGAGACCAGAAATAGGTGGAATGATGTACACTGTGCTATAAGTTGGAAGTTCTATCTCGGAGGCAGCAGAGAGATGGCAGAGGCTTTTGAGACAGGGTGTGAGCTGAGCTGTCTTTTGGTCACTAACTGGCAGCAGTGTGAAAGGCTTAGAACAAACGGCAGCTGTCAAAACTAACAGTCCGGCGAGTGTGCGGGCCAGGGCTTGGGCAGTGATGGGGTGTGGGGGTTTGGTTCTTAGATTCCTGCGGTAGAAACTTCTACAAGAGGACTTGGTGGTCAACAGGCAGAGTTCAAAGGAGAAAAAGAACGGGGGGTGATGTCTAAACTTTTAGTCTGAGAGACCAGATGGGCAGTCATATCAAGAAATCCAGGAATTGAGTGTGTGTAATAGAAGGGAAAGAGCAAAATAGGTTTAGTTCAGAGCAGTCAAGTTCAAAATGCTAGATCACAAAAGAACTACTTAAGGAAAAAGCAGTTGAGGATCCTCTTACATACTCACTTTAATAGGTCCCGTACGGGCTTACTAAATACAGGCAGGCATCACACCACCTACACCCTAGTCAAGCTTGAAAATATGCATTCCAGGTGCCTTTAGCTTAGAGAGTTGCAGTCCACTGTCAAACTTAGAGAGCCTGATTAAGGCTTCACGGGCACACCCCATCTGTCATGTCATCCTTAACCCCTTTGTCCAGAGAAAGGAGGCTTAGCTGCTTCTTCAGTTCTTCAATTTCTTTTTCTTGCTCTAGTATCTTCATCTGTAGGGTGAGATTAACCTGTAAAGAGGAAATTTTAAGCTCCGTTAAATGGCTTCTTTCCTTTTAAATATACAGGCATGCCTCACTCACTTTGCAGTTCCAATGTGCATGGATCCCAGTTATAACAGTTTAATAACACCAGTCACCCACAACAGGGTTCAAGTGTCAGTCACCACAGTAGAGTGAAAAAGCGGTTTAGTCCACCAAACACTATGTGAATGACCGACACAGCATGACCCAGGACCAATCACATCACTTCCCCCAAAGTCTGAGTAGGTGGGTGAGTTGTCACTGCATCTGTTAGTTCACACACACACGTGTGGAGTCGTGCTGCCTCCTGGTCCAGAGATAAACGAAAGTGACACTGTTTAAAAATGAACAACTGAAAGAAGGAACTGGCCATCAAAGATGGAAGTGCAGCAAATGATGAAACTTGGTAATGCTGGAAGTGAGAACCGAATAGTGTTCAGAAACAGCTGACCCTGCTGCCGCTAGACTGGGTGTGCAGCTATGGGACTGACTCATCAACACAAGGGAGGAAGAATGACACCAGCAAAAAACTTCACATTAAAAGACTCAGATACTTCACAACATCAGAAGTGCAAAGGATCGGATGATGGAAGGCCCTCCCAGCACTGAGAAAGGGTTCGCCTCACACCCTAAGTTACATGAGATGAGGGCAGGCACTGTTCAAACTACTCTCGAAACACTTTCATTCTCAATTACTGTGCACTAAATACTAGTTTTACAGTGTTTTCATTTCCGCATACATCTGTAACTGACACTTAGGAAGTTTTTTCCTTTCCATATACATCTGTAAGTGACACTAAGTTTTTAATGTTTTGACAAACCTTTTTGAAGGTCATGGAATAATCATAACTTTCCCGTTGATTATTAAGACCTCTCTGCATGGTTTGAATTCTTCCGGGTCATTTTTACAGTCCTAATCTACAGTGCAAAGCATACCTGTAGAGGTACGTGTAAGTTATTTCATAAAAAATTCTACAACACAGGAAAAATCCTTACCATAAATACCAAATAACTGGTCCCTAGTAGCTACTTCAACTGGGAGTTAGAAAATCCTGTCCAGTCTGAGGAGATCATTTAATCACATCTGCCATTTTCAAAGACACAAAAGTACTCCACCTACCTGCTTACCGTTTAAGCTACTAAAGTTCAGTTTTACTCGAAAATTAATAAGCCTTAAATAGAAGATAAATCAACTGAACAGTTACTACGAGAGGTTGCCAAACTAGTGGCACCAGAGCATTTCACGGTCTGTTAAAGCAGACTGCTGCCCCTAGGCCCCCAAGTTTCCATTTTAATAGGTTGGGGGTGGGGGAAGGCTGAGCAGTCTGTCACGTTCTGGTTTTATGCTGGTCCAGAAACTACAAGTCTGAGACCACAGATTCATGCCATGCTGCTCACTGTGTATGTCAACCACTTGGGTATCTTGTTAAGTGCAGATTCCGACTCCAGATGTCTTAGGGCGGGGCCCAATCGAGTTTTAACAAGGCCCCAGATGACTCCCATGCAGCTGCTCAGAGGACACACTGAGTATGTGCAGACTAGAGACCAGACTTGGCACTGACGATGTGTCAGGAAGGGGGAAGGCATGGGCTGCCTGGGGCGACAGCACCTCAGCACCTCGGGATGGATGCCAATCACACGCGACGACCTTCGATGGCTAAGGCGGTCTCCGCCACCAATGCTCAACTCTCCAAGAATTACTGCTCTTTTACCCTTTGCTACACGTCCCTTTTTACAAGTAGGCACGTGATAATTTATGAAAGGTCACATACCATAGTTGGAAAGGAAAACTAAAACCTTTTGGCTTAGCCAGATGAGGTTAGAAAGTGGAGCCTGTCATTTTTAGAGCAGACAGCTGGCAGTGGTCATCTTTCTTACTGGGATGATGAAAACAAGTGTGCTGCTGGGAACTCTGAGAATGGGTTCAAATACGCTGTTTCCATAAATCTTATTCTAAGCTGTACTGTTCTTCATAAAAGAGGATTCACAATTTAAACAAAGTCTATTTAAAGCTTCATAGTTTCCCCAGCATTAAAAAAAATATACATACATTTCCGGAATTTTGGAAAAGTTCGCTTTGCAGCAACTGCAGAGCCGATGGTCTCTGGGACGTGTTCTCTTTGGTCAGCTGCTGGATATACTTGGCTTGCACGGGACACCTTTTACTAAGCGATTCAGGTATCTGACCCGCTCTTAAACCTGTGAGAACTTGGGCTCGCTCCATTTCTGTTCCAAACGGCTGAAAGAGCTCCAGCAGGATCACACCCAAGCTGTACATATCCGACTGGAAAAGTGGGGGAAGGGGGAGATTAGTAATGAAATACTAAGTGAGCACAACAGGACCATTTCAGCGCACCATCCTCTCAAACACAAGAGACTAAGAAAGGGCGGTCCGTAGCCTACAGTGAAGGGAATGGCGGGCTGGCTCGTCTCTCAGAGGTGATTATCTGCAGGCCTGATACATGTACTGCCCTGAGTAAGAGGTGGCAGGTACTGTCACAATCCCCATCTCTAATACTAACAAAGGGTTCACAGCACAGAGGACTGATGGCCAGGGGAGGGCAGGGATAAGCAGTCACGACCATACACCAGACTCCACCACTCCTTGAAAATCCAGGCCTGATGCAGCTGGAGAGACAGACGCGAGCTCACATGTGCGGGTGCCAGCTACAGAGGGGTCACAAGAGTGTCCCGGGCCTCCTCAGTCTCACCTCTGCCTCGACTCACTGTTACGCTTTCTTGGTCAAGTTTAACAAACTGCATAAAATCGGTCACTTTTCCTAAGTTGTTTAGAAAGCTCCTTACTAGACAGGACTTCAGAAGCAGTCATGGTTTCTTCTGGCGGCTCTTCCCTAATCCATCCAAAAAGCTGACTGATTCATCAGAAAGAAAAAAATCGACTAGGCTTTTCTTTGGAGAAAAGGATTTACTTAACATTCCTTCAAGGAACAATGTGGATTAAAACTCTGGTGTCTTCATTCTACACTACTTCAAAGGGAGTCAAGTGGGCACACTTCCTTGTAGCATTAGCATTTATTTAAGCTTGAAAACAGAATGAAAGGCTGAAAACAGGCCTCTGAATTCCAGCTTCCTGAGGTGCGTGACATTTTAAAGGGAAAGCTCAAAAACAACTCGTTACACCCATGGATTTAGAAATAGCTTAAAAAGCAAGGCAGTCAGATGCAACTGAGAAGTGAGGCTGCCCATCATGGCCGTCTGACGTGGACCTCTGCCTCGGAACTTCCACTGCATTTACTGTACTTTTTGACTGCAGAAAAAGTCCAATAAAAGGGTCAGAAGCAAGAAACATTACCTTGGCATCATATTCAGATCCTTCCAACTGTTCAGGTGAAGCGTACAGACACGTGCCCACTCTGGAAGTATGGGTTGGTAGTCCTATAATTTGAAAAGCTGGATGTGACGCTGCAGTGTGACACTGACGACGTTAAAGAACACTGACTCTCAGGAGGGAACGACAGCAACTTTTGTCTTTAGCTCACTTTTGCTAGTAAATTTTTATAATTCTTTTTAAATCCTGACATCTTATTTTTTTTAATGCAAACAACCAACCAAACCACAGCCCCCAAAACTTACTGTCCCCATTCCTCCTGGTCCAGTCTGTGTTCTCTATGATGTCGGTGCAGGCCAGACCAAAGTCTCCTATTTTCACTTGTTGATCAGGGCCATGAAGAAAAATATTTCTGGGCTATAAACAAACAGAGCACGTCAACTCCTTGGTGTTCTTAAAACAAATAGTAACAATGTGTGGATGTTAGAGTTCTCAACTCAGCAGCAAGTAGCCCCTCAAAATTAAACATCAGAGCAGTGGTTCTCAAACTCAGCTGCACATTAGAATCACTGAGGGAGTTTTAAAGAAACCTCAACATCCAAGCCATTCCCCAAACCAGTAATACAGAAATTCTAGTGGGTGGACGCAGGCATCGGTATTATTTTAAAGGCCTCCCAGGTTATTCCAAGTTTGAGAATCACTAATGCACAGTGCGCATGTCCACAAGTGCTCCTCGACCCTAACTGGACACCAGAATCACCCAAGGAACAGAAACTACTGTCCTCTCCAGTAAGTCAAAGACTTCGACTTTTTTTTTAATGAAAAAACATTCTTTTTGTTTGTTTGTTTTGTTTAAGCTCCCAGATGATTCTTATATGTTAGCCAGGGCTAGAAACAACTAGGTCACACTATACAGTACACACTTAGCTCTATTTAAGCAACCACTGCAGACTTAAAACATCCCCCAGCGGAACTGTTCCTATGCCAGTGAAAAACTGCACCCATGTTGGAAGAGGGGAGAATTCCACTAAAATCTAAAAAATGTTTAGGTTAAAAGTTGGGTTTTCTTACTTTAAAGGTAATAATTTTAATTTTTTATTTCAATGTATAAATTCCTGTTTTACCTTTGTTAGTGTTTTGATCTATAGCTGAATGGAAAGAGAAAATATGAAGAATTTTATGTGTAACATGATAATTTGGATATTTTCTGTGATTGAGGAAAGCCCTTAAAACCGTGCTTTATTTGGCACTATATGATATAGGAACAAAATTTGAAAAAGTTTGGCTCTGATATAAAAATGAATCGTGTTCATGGATACAATTCTCAACAATTCTAAAACATTCTAGAACTGAACTGAAGGCATCATAAAGAGGCTGAAACTAACCAATTCCGTAACTAGTTTCCCCTGACCTCTTAAGTCCTCGCTCTTAAGTTTTTCTCATGGGAAACACCACCAAGAGGGGCAGCAGGGAGCTGGCCACTGACGGTGCCAAGTCACTGGAAGAAGGCCCATCTGCAGCACTCCACACTCAACTCTACGAAGCCATAATGAGACAAGACTGCCCTGCGATCCAGGCACTGCTACGAAGCCACCCCGTCGATCAGCCCCTAGCTGTTCTGGCGAGCTCCACCAGCTACAGATTACCTGGGAACCAGGTACCCTCCTTTCTCCTCCGTCACTTTTAGAAAAGACTCACATGATGCTTCCGAAGGAACACCACCTGGATGTGTTTTTGCATCATGTAGCAACACTACCTGGTTCTTGTGAGCTCCATAAACCTCCTCGCTGCCCTTCGAGGCTAGACAGTGCGTCTCAGGCTCACTCTGCACCCAGAGCAGTGTTCCTAAGTCTGCAGCACCTCCCTTCCAGTTATCACTGATACAGATGTAACAAGGACTAGATCGCGTCTGGTTGGAGGAACGTTAACGTCATCCTCTCAAATATCCCAACAGTGATTACACATCTGTGTGATGGAATTGTTTTCCCTTTTTTACACATACTTTTTCATTTTCTAAATTTTTATACAATTATTACCTTTATAATTTTTTTTTCAAAAAGTCACCCTGTCCTTTACTCCACCCTCTCCCCTTATCTTGCAGTCATGCTGTAAAGCTACTACTTACATGTTTTTTTTAGAACAGCATAAACAGCTCTGCTAATCACAGACAAAACATTTGCTGCATTATCTCTGAGACCATGAAAATGCAGGTTTTTACTGATACTATGACTTGGGCAAAACCTTAAAAAACACAAACCCTACTTGTCATCCTGTGGGTTAACTTAAAGACTAAGTGGCTTAACAGCAATTACCATTACTTTTACACTATGAGCTCTTTACAAGAATCAGCTTTCAAAGCTCTAAGTTATTTCTGTTGCCTTGGTAAATTTGCATTTATGTAACACAGATTTTATAATAAATTCACTGGTTTGGGGTCTTTAAAACAGGCAAAAGAAAAGGAAAATTTCAATGCACATACCAGAAAAATACTGAACCAAGATACTAAATTCAGTTATTTCCTTAGAAATGGCAAACTAACATAATTATTATTTCTAACTACATAAGGCTACTTAAAATGCACTTTGGTTCTTTTCCCCCAAAGCAGACACAGTCCATCATCCCCATTCATCTGGCTGCTGAATACCGCAAGGCACAAAGTTTGCGCTGTTTGCTAGAACATGGCGCGGACCCAGAAATCAGGTAAGTTAACTCAGGAGGCGATTGTTTACAGATGAGGGTATGCATGCTTTGGATGTCATTTTGCCCAGCCCTGTCGGGAGTCATCCATTCTTCAGGGGTTGCGGACTACAAATTGTCAGGTTTTGAATGAATCGGTTTCTTTATTGACTAGATAAGATGCTCTGAACAAATGGAAAAGATTCAGGAACACAGATCAGTCAGCCCCTTTGGAGCATCCTGCGCAGTTAAGCGCTCAGCAGCAGTGTTAGGAAGATGCATTAATGCTGCTCACAGCCCTCAGTTTAAAGACCTACGTTAGATACGACAAAGTGGGCAACAGGTTTTCTTCTTTATTACCCTCCACTAGAAGGTATGTTTCATGACAGGTTTTTCTTGCTCACCAATACCAATAGATTTTCACCACTTAAACCAATGTCTGACACTTAGAAAGTGCCCAATACTATTTGAATGAATGCGAGGATGACACGGTATACAAGTAACACTTCTTGCCCTCACAATTAGAAGACAGTTAAGCCCAAATCCCGACCACACTCCGGAAGAGCCCCCCTGGCCTGGCTCTCGCTCTCGCCTCTCCCTGCACACCCCACCCAGCGTGGCAGGTGGTCTCGCAGCCTTTCCAGGAGTGGACCATCACACACTCACCCACGCGCCTCTTTTCCTGCCCTTTAAGCCACAGGCCGTCCCTGGGTCAGGCTTCCTAGAACTTTGACCACTTGCAGTGTTTCCTTCGTTGTTTAAATGTGTTTCGCGTCTTCCATAGACTATAAGGCCTGCTAAGGTAGGGACGATGTGCTGTTTCACCACAGCCCAAGCAGAGGCCCCTGCACTGAATAAACATATGTAAACTAAAAATCATTTTCAAATTTCAATAGAGTAGTCAGTTCCTAATAAACCTTCCCCCTTTTTCTGCCAAAAGGAAGGAATTTTGGAGGCAGTCCTGAGTGATTTCAGGAAAGGAACAAATGAGGGCCAGGCTGTGAAACACACATTCTACCTGGGAACCACGATGAAGCAGCCGCACTCACTGCAGGTGACTGAGGGTCCAGACTCAGCCCACCTCCACACACAAGTGACAATGCCAGGCAGAGGGGCACATGCACAGCCACCAGCTGAGTCAGTGGCATTCGGGCCCTGTATGGCTCACTTCTCTGGTCACCCCAGGTCACACTCAGGTCCACACGATTTTAATGAATGGCTGCTAACTTAGCTCACAGCACTGCGTGAGGTGCTAGGGTATAAACAGAACCAGGACACAGCCCTGAAGAGGCCACAGTTCTGGCAAGAGTCACAAAGCTGAAACAAGCTGCTAACGGAAGTTGGGCCCCTCGGTGCTGTGACACATACCACCCTGTCCCCCGAAAAACAATGTGATACCCTGAGAAATTAAACAGCAACGCAGATCTTCAAACACCTCTTTAAAGTAACTAAGGGGGATTACCTGAAATGTTGCCTTCTTAAGCACTAATGCCCACTGTGAACTGAATGTAACCTGTGTCCCTCCTATTCCAGGGACACAAGAGGCCTCACCACACTTCACCTGATGCTACTGCACTGGCCGGTCACTTCTAGCACATGGACAAAACCGGGGAACAGAATCCAGAGGCTGCTGACAGACATTCAGAATAACGCCATGACGTGTCTCCGCATTGTGTGTGAGCACGGAGCTCAAGTGAATGCTCGAGTGGACAACAGCCACAAGCTTTCACCCCTGCACCTGGCCGTAACATATGGGACCTACCCCGTGCTCACCATCTTAGCCCAAAATGGTGCCCATGTCAACGCCATTAATGAATCCAGTATGACACCCCTTCACATGGCTGCAGCTATACTGAATAAGGAGATGATGGAAACGCTAATCGCCTGCGGAGCAAATGTCAACTGCGCCATCTCATCCACCGGGAACACAGCCCTTAAGCTGGCAGTGTGCACAGCGTCCAGCAAAGCCGGACGCCTGCTGGCAGCGGGAGTCAGCTGCATCCGTCTGCTGCTGACTCACGGAGCCCAGGTGAACACCCAGGACCACGAAGGCCTAACAGCCATCCACGAGGCATGTTTCGGAGGCAGAGGGGCGATAATCCACCTCCTTCTGGAATTTGAAGTGAATGTTAATATCTTAACGAGAAATGGGGCATCTCCGATCCACATGTATCTGCAGCGCAGGGCCAACGTGAGAGACACCGCACTCCTCGCCAAGCTGCTCTACCACTCCTATCCTTTGCGACTGACCAATAACCAAGGAATTCTGCCTGCAGGAATCATGCTACCGGAGTTCGAGCTCTTAAAGGAAACCCTATTCAAGTTATCTCAAAAACCATTATCCCTAGAGGACATCTGTAAAAGAAACATCAGAAATATTTACGGCAAGAGATACAAGGAACACGTGAAACACCTTCTCCCGGAGAAGATGTGGAGCTCTGTATACGGGTATTATGACTTAGCTGGCCTCTTGAAATAAGACCTCAAAGTTTCACAGTGCCAAAGAGTTCCAGTAACTCCCATCGCATTTGCTGGCTAGACACGTATCCAGAAATACTCAACCTCGTTGCCTTCTAAGTGTCAGTTGTACAAACCACTGGTTCTTAAATCTTTTTCAAAAAATAAAATGATCTGCATATTCACGTGTTTCTAAATAGTCTGTGAAATGCATCTTTCATGATTTAATTTTGGTCCAAAAAGTAAGCAAATTAATTTAAAACTCTCAGAAAAGAAGTAAATATATTTTCTCTCTTTCTTGATGGCCTTTTGTGGATAAAAACTGGAATAGTCATTATAGATTTTTCAAACAGCAGAAAAAATTGTCCCATGTTAAATTTCCTTTAAGATGGATAATTATAGAAACAGGTTTGCCCTCTATGGCTGAAATAATAGATAAGTCAGCATTAAATACATTTAGCACCATCAACTATAGTAGTACTCAGTCAGACATACTTACTACCTGAAAAACAGTGAGAATTTCTAATGCCCAAAGATTACTGTTTTTAAATTCAAGTTTTCATGTTCTGGACCTATAAAACAATGACGTATATGAAAATAATGATACCCTTCTAAGTTGATGAACTAAGATACATAACTCCATTTAATTCAAAGAACCGACACCAAGTCACCCCTGATAAGCTTTCCATGACTTCATCTCCCCCACTTACCTTCAGATCTCTGTGTACAATTCCCATGTTATGTATGTAAAATACACCTTCTACCAATTCTTGAAAAATTTTTGTTGCAACACTGGCCATAACATAAGGACCTGAAGTTAAAAAAAAAAAAATGTTTTATTTCTTTTTTTTTTGCTTATTACATTAACATCTAAATGTTAAATGCAGTTCCAAATACATTAACTTCTGACACCTACACAACATTCAGATTTTTAACAAAGTCAATACTCCAAAACAGTTCAAGCCTAGAAATTGGCAGGCAGGGCTCCTCAGCTAGCAAAGACATCACAAACTAGTGCTCAACAGTGGACTGTCCCCAGAAAGAGACCTCTGATTCCACTCAGAGCCCCTGTATTAATTACACTGTAAATATGCTCAGGCATTAGGTGGCTACATTAAATTATGTTTAAGTCCCCTTCAACCCCTGACATCCTGGGGTTTAAGGCTAATAAATCTGGTATCCTGGCCCACTGTGGGCTGGAGACATTATTACAAATAATGGAACAAGAAGATAAATTATGTAAGCCCACGGGGTGAGCTTCATCATCTGGAAGATGTGGAATGCATTTTCCGAAAACAACTGACAAATGAAGTATATGGGGAAAAGAGCAAATGAATTAATTAATCTGTTAATATGATGACATAATATGAGAACTTAGAGGGTAGAGAGGTTTTGTAGGACTAAAATAAAAAATTGATGAAGAAAAAAATCCTGGAGTTTTGCCAGCCAAGTAAGATTAGTAATATAGTAAGCACTTACTAGCTTTTCTGTATTCAATCATTTTAAATCATAAACCTCGTTTACCTTCAAGCCCAAGAACACTACACACTCCCATCTCCTCTCTGAACGAGCCCAATTTGTCACACAGCTCAAACCTACTCCACACTCTCCTGACACTATAACCAGGGACCTCAAGTACTTCAGAAGACAGACCACTCTGTGTGTGTGTGTGTGTGTGTGTGTGTGTGTGTGTGTGTGTAAAAGCAATGGTTACACTACAAGTTCGTCTACTGTGGCCTATGACTCCCCCTTACTGTGAAGTGACAACCTCCTGCCTAGGGAGAAAAGCAAGGAGGGCGTCTGACTTTTCACAACTATTCAAATGACTGCCTTCCTTTGTCTTTAATACGGTTCTCATTTTAACCCACCTAACACATCCAAATGTTGGGCGACTGCGAGAGAATTCGGTCATCACACACAATAAGAAATCCGATTCACTCAGTGCTACAGCCTTTACACTTAACTGCTTTGATCCTCTCAAAACCCCATAAAATGGGAATCATCCACATATCACAGGCTGAGGAAAGGACTGAGGGCAGTTACTGACTCGCCCAAAACCTTACATCTGGTGAGGAGTACAGCCAGGATTCAAACACAGGTCTCTCACTCATGGGACTGCTGAGAACAACCGACATAAAATATAACTGATGTAAGGCTATACATACAGTGCTAGAATACTACACAGCTAAAATGTTTTCTTTTAAAATATTTTCTAAAGAAAAACATACATCATGCTAGCGTTATCATACATATCTTGCCCTCACTATCCTGACAGATTTACTGTACTGGATAGCGCAGAGTTCTCATCTCACACTTCATGAGGGACTGACTCATTTCCCACATGGAAGGCTAAAGGTCAACTGCACACAGGATTTAATAAACCATTCTCCTTTTCATAAAGACATCACTCATGCAGCAAGCAAAGGATACGACTTCACGGGGCGCTGAAGCTACCCCACACACTACCTGCCACGAGTGAACTGAGCAGTCTGGCATGGCCTACTCTCACGGCAAACTAGAGAAGAGGTGGGGGGCATCAAGGAGCTGCCAGAGGGAGACCTTGTGTTTCTGCCTCCCCTGGACACTAGGCTAAGACTTGGAGTAGACTAACGGGCCTATATTTCAAACCAAATAGAGCGTTCCAGTGTCACTAGGAGTGAACAATGATTAATGATCAATATTTCGCTGAATGTTTAGTTAAAATCAGGTCACTTGTATTCCCTATTTTGATCATCTAATACAGTGCATTTCAACTTTGTCCACACATTAGGATCACCAACTTTCAAAAAAAAGAAAAAGAAAAAATACCAAAGGCCAACACCTATCCGAGACCAATTATATAAAAATTACTGGTGTGGTCCCAGACAACAGCCTTTTAAAAAAATAGATTTTAACGAGAGGAGAAAAAAAAATGAAGAAAAAAAGAAACCAAAAAATAGATTTTATTTTTTTAGAATAATCTTAGATTTACAGAAAAATTGGAAGATAGTAGAAGTTCCCACCTACCCCATACCCAATTCCCCTGTTGTTAGTATCTTATATCAATATGGTATATTTGGTATAATTAATGCACCAATATTGATACCAGTCCATAGTTTATTCAGATTTCCAGTTTTTTACCCAATGTCCTTTTTCTGTTCCAGGATTCTACCCAGGACACCACATTACATTTGGTTGTCATGTCTCTCTGAGGCTCCTCTGGTCTGTGACAGTTTCTCAGGCTTTTCCTGTTTATGATGACCTTGGCAGTATTGGGACGTACTGGGCAGGTATTCTGTAGAATGCAATTGGGGTTGTCTGATGTTTTTCTCATGATTAGACTGGGGTTATGGATTTGGGGGAGGAAGATCACAGAGGTACAGTGCTCTCTCACCACGTCTTATCAAGGCCACACACTATCAAATAAGAGGTTAACATGTCATTTGGAGTGAACAGCAAATGAACTATCACTGCTGAGGTTGACCTTGATCACTAGCTGAGGTGATGTGTGTCAGGTTTCGTCCCTGGAAAGTTCTTCTTTACTGTCGACATGTTTTTAAGAGTTCCCTAGGTGATTCCAATGTGCAGCCCAAGTTGAGAACCACTGTTACAATATTTTAAAATGTTAACCTAACAGTATTTCTAGACGATATACTACTGCGGAGGGGGTTGGGGGGGTCTGGACCTTGATGGAGACAAACTTTTGACCACTTCTACAGGGGTTTCTTTAAAGGGGTTTCTTTAAAGGTTTCTTTTGGTAAGAGTATACATTTTCAGGTTAAAAAAATAAAACAAGTATTTAAAATTTTTTCCTTAAAAAAATTTTTAAAGACCTCTTCCACCCAAAATCATTACCTGAATTCTAGAATTACTGCTTAAATATCAACAAACTATATATCACAGAGAAATTTAACTTCCAAATTCCCATTGCTTTTTTAAAATGTTGAAATAAGCATAACTGTCTCTTTGGTTTAAAAAAAAAGTGATTATTTTCTTCCAATCTAAAGCACCTGGAAGCAGAAGGTGCCAAATCCTGCCGCCTTTATTTCCCAGCCCAGTACTTCTAGACACACACGGGACTGCCGACGCACACGGTAGTGCCGACACACACGGGACTGCCGACACACACGGGACTGCCGACACACACGGTACTGCCGACACACACGGTAGTGCCGACACACACGGTAGTGCAGACGCACACGGGACTGCAGACGCATACGGGACTGCAGACACACACAGTACTGCCGACACACACGGGACTGCCGACGCACACGGTAGTGCAGACGCACACGGGACTGCAGACGCACACAGTACTGCCGACACACACGGGACTGCCGACACACACGGGACTGCCGACGCACACGGTACTGCAGACACACACGGTACTGCAGAGACACACGGGACGGCCGACACACACGGTACTGCAGACACACACGGTAGTGCCGACGCACACGGTACTGCCGACACACACAGGACTGCCGACGCACACGGCGCTGCAGAGACACACGGGACGGCCGACACACACGGCAGTGCCGACGCACACGGGACGGCCGACACACACGGTAGTGCCGACACACACGGGACTGCAGACACACACGGGACGGCCGACGCACACGGTACTGCAGACACACACACACGGTACGGCCGACACACACGGCACTGCGGACACACACGGTACTTACAAACCTCCACGGTACCACAGACGCACACAGTACTTACACGCAGCTTCGTCCACACACTCCCGGCCCCGCTTGTTTCTCTCCACGATCCAGTCCCACAGCGAGAGCTCACACAGCTGCATCTGGATGTGCAGCATCAGGTGGTACTGCGCCTAGGGGGCGACACAACACAGGCTCCCATCTTTGCACCACTCGCTCCCGGGAAATTTAGTCAACAAATCCTACTCTAGGCCAAGCACTGCTGGGCCTAAGTGATGAGGACAGAGACAACAGACACAGGCCTGCCCTGAACACCCCAGTCTAGTGAAGGAGATGAAGAAGTAAAGCAATGTGTACAATGAATGGTGTGGCCTAATCCAAGTGGGTAGGCGTAGGCCCACTGGAGTTAGGCAGCCATCCAAGGGCAGAAGCTCTTGAATGTGACACTGAGGCAGTGGGCCTGAGCCTGTCTGGTGTGCTCACTACATAAACAGCTTTTAAAGCTCAGATCAAGCGTCAAAGAATGGCTGTGTGGTATTCTGCTACTCTGTGTATACCCCAAAGTACATATGAGTATACAGTTTGGCTGGCTTCACATTGTACATAACTAATAACTTGTTCAAGGAAAAGAAAAACAAAAATTAAGCTCACTGTAGCCCATTCATTTAGGTATCCAGGGAATTTTCCAAATGTATTACAGAGAAATAAAACTATTCTGAATAAAAGCCCCTCAAACCCCACTCTTCTGTATTCAGGCGAGCCTAGTCAATGTTTTGTGTTTCACAAAAAAACATACAGAGCCACATTCCTGGACAACAAGAATTCTGCGTGTGTGTGTATATATATGAGGTGTGATAAAAAAATATAATGAATGCTGCTGCCAAGTGCCATCCACGGAAAGGCAGGCATCTTCAACACGGGAAGCTGTGCGTTGACACTTAGTAACAGAGTGTAACAAGTATCAATTTGTTCAGTGCAGTCAGTCAGGTGTGAGCTATGGTTGAGAGAAGGTGTGTTTTAAAGTGTGGTGTAAATCATCCTCCATCATGACAACGCTCTGTGTCACACAGCGACTCTGGTACAGCAATGTCTGTCAAATAAAAACATTACAGTGTATCCTCATCCTTATTCACTGGATCTGGCATGGATCTGGCCCCGCGCGACTCCTGGCTCGTCCCCAGTCAAAATGGTTCAGGACGTCGAGGCAGCCCTGACAGCGCAACTGAAGACACTCATGAAAGAGGACTTCCAGAACTGCTTCAGAAAGTGGCAAAAATGATGTTCAAAGCAACGGAAGGGTATTTTGAAAGGAATTAATGGCAATGTGTCTTTTACAGTAATAATTTCCTTTTATTTAAACATTCACGATATTGTTTGATCACACCTCGTAGATGGTATACACAGTTCTATAATCCAACATGACAGATTATGTGCAGACCCTGTTAAGTTCAAATTTTTTAAATACTAATAGTCATTACTGGTGAGAGTACATGGGAGTCTCACCAGCAGATTTGTGTAACCCTCAGCAAGAGTATCCTGAAAACTGACCTGGGTAATTCTACTCGAACTCTCTCCTAAAGCCATGTTCCAAAAAGTAGAAAGCCTGTCTGCATAAATATTTTTATAGCACGAAGCTAACATACAACAGAAATAGAGTGTGCATGATGCGTCCAAGTCCAGGGACACGTGTGGGAATATCAAGAGCAGGGAATGACCCAGTCAGGGAGGTCTGGAAAGGATGAGCAGGCGTTAACTACGTGAAGGAGGGAAGACCAAATACAATGCCATTCGTCAAGGGGGAACATGGAGAGACGAGATAACAGAGGGCAGAAGAGCTAGAGCAGAGGGAGGAGCGGACGGTGGGAAGTCAGCTGAGAAGACGGAAGGCCCTATCGAACCACAGGGATTATTGTAAACATCAAATCGGTAGGTTCTGGGAAAGTCACTACCTCTGTCTTCCCCAACAAGTTGAAGTTTTCTCCAGAAGATTCCTCAGTGGATGTGAAATTCTCCTCTAAGCCTGAATTAAGCCTCCGTGGCGGCTGAATCTCAACAATCGACCTGGACAAACCAGACAAGCCATTTCCTTGGAACTCAATGGATGATTCAAATTCACTGGCATCTCTTGTGACCAATTCGGTGGTATAGTTCACCAATCTGTTATTCTGGTTTTCAATTCCAGACTCTAAGGATTTTTCGTCTTCTGAGGTGAACTCAGCGAAGATAATGGATGAGCTATTACTTTCATCATTTTTAACATCAGACTGACCTCTGGAGGGGAAAAAAACCAGTAAAGATAAAAATCAATGTCAAAAAAAAGTAACTCAACTGTCCCTTCAAATCCATATGAGTCTTACTGGTAAAGTCCTGAAAAAAAATGGCATCAAATCTAACAGCCACATTTACTTAAAATACTGACAGGAAATATCTGAGGAAGAAATCATTTAACATTACATAATAAAAATAAGCCAAAAGAAACTCTGAAACACTCCTGAGCTTCTAATAGCAAAAAATGAAGGCAGCCTAATGCAGGTGACAGGAGGTTGTATCTAACCTATAAAGTCCACACCAGTCCACATACCTGTCATCCTCCTGGGTGGAGATCACTTTCAGAGATGGCAACTGAATAGCAATTCTATCTGCTGAGCAAAAACAAAAACGAATTTCAAACAGTCCAAGTTTCTAATTCAGAGTCAAAGGCAGAGCTAAATTACCCAAATAATACCAAAGGAGACTACAAGTCTAAAAATGGCATGCCCTTCTGGCAAAACGCAATACAACGAGATTATTCAAACCACCAGCAGGCACCTTTTAGGAACCATAAAACAAAGCTGTTCCATGACACAAGAGGTCAGCAGACTCTGGGAAGGACCTGACAGTACGTACTTTAGGTCTTGCGGGCCCTATGGGACTCTGCTGTTGTAAAAGCAGCCAGACAATACAATGAACCAGTGTGTGTTCTCAGTTGTATTTATATTACTGACACTGAAATGCTGACTATAATTTTCACAAAATATTTTTCTTTTGATTCCTTTTAACTACTTAAAAATGTAAGAAAAAAAAATTCTCAGCTTATGTGATGCACAAAAACAGAGGCAGGCCAGATATGGCCCATGACCAAAGTTTGCCAAACCTTCAACTCTACCATCTGACACTGCTTACCTTGCGGTTGGGCCACATGAACGTGTTCAATCCAAGCAGTGTGATAGCCTACAATATTAGGGTGCTGCAGACCTGCCAGCACCTTCACTTCCCGTAGCACCTGAAGCAGAAAATATACTGAGATCTGGCTTTCGCGGGCAATTTGTTAAATGTTCATGGTATCAACTACTACTAGTGCCAGAGCAAATATAGTAAAAACCCCTGTGTATAAGCAATCTCAACTATGTTAAAACAATGGGAATGTTTTTGTGAGAGACAAATGCAATTGTTGTACCAACTAAGCTTACAAGTATATAGGACTTTATACATTGCATAGTTCATTTATCATCATTCTCCTATAAGTAAGTCCAGTCTTCAAGTTGAATAAAACCATGGTTGTCAGCAATATTTCAAGGGCAGGAGACACAAGTGGCTTAGAGGACTACGTCATTTGCCCAGGACCATACAGTATGTAAGGGAGAAGACTGGGAGCTGAATTGAGCTCGTGTTTTTCTTGTAACAAGCTGTATTGTATATGAATGGTTTACTTAAAAAATTAATTTCCCCAGCGATGACCCTGAAACGTGGTCAATCTGAAAGGCTTATAAAAAAGTAAGTCAGGTCTGGCCGAGTGGCACGTTGGTTAAGAGCTGGCTTGGGACGCCAGAGGGCTCCGGTTTGAATCTCACATATGAGGGCCAGTGACACTGCCCTCTATAGCTAAGATGCTGAACAACAGCTCAACCTGGAGCTGGGCTGCCAGTGAGTCGCCCGCGACGGCGTAGGCTACAGCCCCTGCTGCAGTGGGTTGCCATGGGCTACCGTGTAGCCAGCAGCCAGCGTGAGCAGCCAGCAGCCACTGTGAGTGGCCGTCCAGAAGCCAGTGACTGATCTGCCTCACCCGGGAAGAGCGCAATGATGGTGCCAACTTGGGCCAGTGAAGCAACATCCTCCACAACTAGACTGAAGAACAAAAGGACAGCAACTTGTCTGTTCCCCTTCCTTCAATTCACCAGCACTGTTCCCATCCCCCAATTCCCCAATCAAAATCTTTAAAAAAAAATAAGTCATATAAAAATGTAGTTTTGATGTTTATTTTACTATAACCCACACCTTGTAAACTAGCAATCCATACCATCTAGTATTTGCCAAACACACACACACACACACACACACACACACACACACACACACACCCCTCTTATGAAAAAACCTAAAGACTCAATTATTCAAAATACATAATTTTGAAAATCATACCTTCATGCAATCTGTCTTAGTTGCACCCTTAATCAGGATTTTTTTAATTGCATAATACTGACCATCTAATTTATTCCTGACCTAAAAAGTGGAAGAAGAAACAAAGTATATTATGCCATTAAATTCCAACTGAATAAAGAAAGTTCTTTTAACCTGAGCTTAGAGAATCCACACTAGCCCGGGATAAAAGTCAGCTGCAGACCTGTATCCTCTTTGCTATGTTCAGGGAGGTCAGCGGTGGTCACACAGAACACAGGCTTTTCAAACTGCATTGAGAGTTCAACTCCTAGCAGCTCCAGGTCTGAGCAAGGGCATGTTAGTAAAAGGGCTCTGTCTGGTCCACACCACAGAAGCACAACTTTTTTGAGTAATATATTCTTAATAAAATATAGAACGAAACCTTAGTTTCCAGAATCCACCTCCACCTCCACCTTGGTCAGGAAAAAAAATAAAACCTGCCCACTTCCCCACCGATGACAAATCTTAATGAAAAGTAAATATACATGACTTCCAGGAATTTTTCTTTGAGCATTTAAATAACAATAACAAAAATAATTTCTCAAAATACATTTGTTTAGAGTAACAGGTCAAGGAGAATATGTGGAAAATAACCTTGTAAACTCGTCCATATCCACCTTTTCCTAAGATGGCAAGCTCTTCAAACTCATTTAAGTAACGTGAAGTTTGTGCTTCAAAGGCTACTTCCCTTGATCTAAAAGTTAAATATAGTCAATATTAGAACATGAGAGCATCAGGATTTTCTAGGGTAGTTCATGTTCACCGTATTAACTGCTAAACCTCATTTATCACTACATTGTGATCCTTTGGAAAAGGATGAGTGAAATGGAAATGTTTCATTCTCCATCAAGAAAACATTTGCTAAGCAAATCGAGAGTGTAATAAAGATAGCAGGGAGATCATTAATCTAGTTTTAAATATTTCACCAGTGATTAGTATTTGATGACTAATAGGCAGAAGTTGATTAGCAGAGTTCAGTAGTAAAGTTACTTAATTCCTTAATGATCCCAACCAGTTACAGATTTTAAACTAGCATTTCCTAAAGATAGCCAGAATTCAATGGTTTTCCCCTGACAGATTGGATATCAGTACTCCGAATTAGGGACCCACAGTGAATGCTGGGAACAGGAGATATAAAAGGAGGGAAATGAGGGCCGGCCGAGTGGCTCAGTTGGTTAAGAGCTCGCTCAAGAGTTTGAGCTCTGAGCAACAGCGGTTCGAGTCCAGCCCGAGCTGAGCAGCCGCTGAGCTGCCAACAGGTAGCAGGATGGCTCAGCTTAAAAAAATAAATAAATAAAAAATAAAAAAAATTAAAAAATAAAAAATAAAAGGAGGGAAATGAGAAGTAAAGCAAATCTTGGCAGCAGTAATTAATTGCTGAGAACAAAGTTTTCAATTTTCATAAACTAGCCTAACTACATTATTTTTTGACCCAAACTAATATCTGATTAATTCAGAATTCTTAATCCTGACCTGATTTCTTTTCTGTTGTTTAATCTTTACATAATCACAAAAGTATTTACTACATACCTGATCTTCTGGATATGAGAATTATCCTCACAAGGATCCTAAAATCAAATAGTGATTTTTAAAAGCATTTCAAAAACTTCATGAAATAAAGAGTCTATCAAAGTTCAATGTCACGTTAATAGTTTGAAATGCTTAAACAGTATTTTTTTAAAAAAGACTTGATGGCTTTTTCAATATTACCTAAGAGTTCACAATTGAAAATATTTCTCTCTTGATCAGGATACCTAGTAAAAAAGCTATATTCTTGCTGTCCACTGACAAAGCTGAGGATTGACCAAGAAGCTCCATCAACAAATAACATTGATTTTACCTTCAAAATACATGCAGAAACTGACCACTTCTCACATCCCCGCTGCTATCACCCATCCCAACCCACCATCATCTCTTCTTGCCTGTATGATTGCACCTGTCTCCCCGCCTGGGCCCCTGGCCTCTCAGCCTATTCTCAACACAGCAGCTGGTGTGATCTCATTAAGATACGTCAGATTCTGTCACTCCTCTGCTCAAAATCCTGCAATGCTTCCCATTTGACTCTGCGTGAAAACCAAAGACATTTAGGTGGTCTCAAGCTCCGATCCCATCCAGCACTCCTGCTGCCCCCTTGCTTCCTCCAGCCATAAGGCTGCCTGTCAGCTTCCCTCAGGCCAAGCACACGGCTCCCTGGGGCATCGCTGTGACTGGGCCTGCAATGCTTTTCCCTCCAGGTACCTGCATGGCTCTTTCTCTCAACTCCAGCTCCTGCTTTAAAGGACAGTCTCACTAAGGCCCTCCCTGGCCACCGTCGATAACAGTCACACAGTTTCTAAGCCTCCTGACTGCTTTGTTTCGCCTTACCACTTGTCCCCACCTAAAAGCCTGTTTCTTTTTACAGTTTTATTTTTCGGTTGTTCACTGCTCCCTCACCGGAACAGAAGCTCCTTGAGGGCAGGGATTCTATTTTGTTTACTGCTTGAACCGCAGCACCTACCAGAAAGCCTAATTTGTCAAATAAACAAATCAAAGTTAACATTTTTCTAGACCTGTATTATAATCAGGATTTCGTAATGCTTTAAAAAACAGTCCTCTTGAAATGAAAGTGTGTTTGTCACATACAAAGTACGCATTTTAGTGCTTACCTGACGAACTCTCTCTTTAGCTGACCTCATTAAATGTGTAATGGCTCTGTTGTGATGTAGCCTCAATGAGCTGAACTCATCGCTACAGGAGAAAGAAGACAGCAGCCCCATTTTGATAAAGGTCTGACAAAGTACTAGAAAAAGAATACAGAAAACTATTACTGAAAAGGCCATCAATAAAATGGCAATTTTAAAGAGCACGCAGAGCATAAAGAGTAACAACAGCCTCTATAAGAAAAAAAGTTACATTTATACACACATTACAACTTAGGGATTGATGCTCTACTAGCAAAGCAACAATCGGTCCACTCTCTGATCAGGAGCACATCTGTAATTACTTCTCTAATACTGAACAGTCTTTTGCTCACCATGCCTGGTCAGTCAGTTAGTACTAAGCTCCATCTTTTAAAAAGGCAAGAAAAAGTGTAAGCATAGCAGTGTTCTCACATTCAAGTACATTCCACTTTGCTGGCAGGCAATCAGATGAGATGAGAATAAAGGCAGGAGTGGAAACGAATGATTAGAACTGACAACAAAGTGAATATTAATTGCTGTTTTCTATTACGGAGTATCTTTAACCAGCAAAGAGAAAGCACACATGCGATATGTGTACAGACCAAATACTAGGCGGAAAGTGAAGTCTGAAGTCACGACAGCAGGCTCCTCAGAAAAAAGTTTCTATAGAAGTGTTTGGCTTTACTCATTCAAGGAATAAAGATCCATATAGGACATATTTCTATATAGAAAACTCTGCATTTAGATTATAAACTAACTGAATCACACAAAAACATTTATTTAACTAGACTTTGTTTAAAACCTCAATCATTTAGGGCCAGCCAAGGGGCTCATTGGTTAAGAGTTGGCTTGGGAGCACGCAGCAGGGCCACTGGTTCAGATCCCACATGAGGGCCAGTGACGCTGCGCCCTCTACAGCTAAGATGGTGAACAACAGCTTGACCTAGAGCTGGGCTGCTGTGAGGTGCTGGAGACGGTGTAGGCTGCAGTGGGGCTGCCATAAGCTACCATGAGTGGCCGGCAGCCGCTGTAGCCGTGAGCGGCTATCCAATGGACAGTGACCGATCTGCCTCAGCTGGGAAGAGCGCAATGATCACAATACCAACATGGGCCAGTGAAGTGACATCCTCCACAACTAGACTGAAGAACAAAAGGACAGCAACTTGTCTGTTCCCCTTCTCCGATTCCCCAATGCTGTTCCCTCCCCCAATTCCCCAATAAAATCTTTAAATAAAAAAAGCTCAGTCATTTAAAAGTGAATTCAAAAAAATCTTAAAATCAGCAAAATTTGCAGATTTGCTTTAATTAGAAGATTACTATATTAAATGCATTATAACCTGCTTTTCTATACACTGAGTCCAATATAATAACCCCCAGCTGCCAATGCTTCGGAGCCTACCGAGCACCGCCTTTCATACAACCCACCTCCCCACCATATCTTCAGGAAAATAAGTGTACACCATACAAATAATGTTTACCATTTTTCATGTCGCATCAAGCTTATCAAAATGATCATCTGCCTTTAAGTAAAAGTGTTACATTCTAAGATCACATAAAGGAATCTATAAGTTTGATAATTTCTAACACCAAACAAGGCTTGGAAAGATGTTTTTGGTAGAAAAGATCCTTAGACTCTGATTGGAAACCACAATGGTCTCAGTCAATAGCTGAACGAGAAACACCATAATATACAATTCTGCTCACTTCTGTATTCACATTTCTCATACAAGAAATTCTGGCAGGAATAACAATAAAAATTTTCAACTACTGTGGTCTAAGAAGAAATGCATTTGGTCTTTGTCTCTGGTTCCTGGCACACTGGCTCCTAAGGGCTAGGGTTGCTTGGAGCATCTTTTCTTCTTAGTATTTGGTCTTTGACCCAGTTTGTGACCCAAGAGCTCCTGAGAGCCCTGGAACCTCCAGAGTGAAGTGTCTTTCTGAATGCTAACGAGGTGACTGAAGTTCCCTAGGGAGCCTCAAGATGGCAGCCAGTCACCAAGAAGACCAAGCCATGATTACAAGCTTAGAGCCTTCAGTTCCACCCGCCATTCTCTGGGGAGGGGAGACAGCTGGAGATTGAGTTCATACTTGATGGTGCCAACATCATGAAGCCTCCATAAAAATCCCTAACCTACAGGGTTCAGAGAGCTTCTGGGAGCTCTCTGCACCAGGAAGGTGGTACATCCCAACTCCACAGGGACAGAAGCTCCTGCCCCCTGGACCCTGCACTCTGTACCTCCTCAGGCCCGTTATCACATCCTTTATTATATCATAAACCTTTAAGCATAAGTAAGTGGCCTCCTGAGCTCTGTGAACTATTATAGTCAATTGTCAAACCTGAGGGAAGGCGGGTAGTGAACATCAATTTAGATCCAAGTCAGGCACAAGTGTGGGTAACCTGAGGACCCTAGGGGCACACTACTTGCAATGGCATCTGAAATAAGGGTAGTCTTGTGTGACTGATACCTTGACCTGTGGGATTTGACACTGACTCCACATAGTGTCAGAACTGAACTGAATTGTAGGACACCCAGCTAGTGTCCGAGAGCTGGTCAGTGCAGGAAAAATAACCCCGCGCATGTGGCATACGGAGTGTGCAGAGGAAAACAGCTTCCCACTCAACACCACAAAATGCTGCCGTGTGGTGCTCTGCTCAAGAACCGGTTCAGAGTGAATACCTGTGATTTTCCATTCACCTGCTCACTGACTAAGTCATAACAGAGCTTCACAAATTACACGAATTATCACGTTACAGATACAAAAGAGCTAGCTCCTATCTATTTAAATAGGCACAATTTAATGGTTATTAATCTTTTGGGGCCCCCAGCGATTATATTCCTAAGGAATTACCTAAAGCAAAATATGCAATGAATTTAAGAAACATAAACTATGAACACTTAATTTCAAACTTCTATATTCCTGCTGCTTCTGACACCCACAGCACTAAATAACATAGGGTTTGTACAAGTTTTATATAGAAGATTAGTTCATTCTTACTAACATTTAAACACCTGTCCTGAACGAAGTGGGTTTGGTTCGTGCACACGGCTCAAGTGTTCCAGCAGAGAAACGAGCAGCAGCTGGTTGGCGACGGCAAAAGGGAATGTCGGCTGCTGCTGGGGTCCTTTTAACACCTGCAGCTCTGCTGGGACATCGGATTCTAAAAATTAAAACGGGAAAAAAATTTCATAAATGGTCAATGTATCTCATAATAACAAAATAGCTAATAACATAATAACATTCTAGCTAATGGAACAAAGTATTTAAATTTAAGGAAATAAAAAACAAAGCAGTAGTGAAGCTGAGTGGGGCTAGTCAAGGCAGACTTTCTAGAATTGAGTTTTGAGTTGAATTCCAGAAGTTGGAAGACTAACAGAAAGATGCCATTGGGGGGAGGGAGAGTTTTAGTAGTAACAACGTACGCAAAGGTAGACAGAAATGAATGAACAAATAAAGTTTCAAGCAAACAAGCTGGAACATCCCAGGATGGCTTCCTGCCATCAAGAGGACAGCCAGGCCCAGGCATAAGGAAAGAAGGTGGGCAGAGGGGAAGGAAAAGGGAGGATGGATAGAAACTTCACTCTAAGCACAAACCACAGTCTCATTTAATCCTCACAGGACAGTAAATGGTGAGTGTTACCATTCCCATTTTACAGACGCGGACACTGATCTCCTAAGGAGTAAGGAACTTGGAAGCAGGCACATCGGACCCACTCCCAAGCCCACTGTCCTCTTTCCACCCAACAAGACCAACCAGACAAGTTGGCAATTACAACTGATGGTCTTAAGTTCTTACTTATTGTTTTATTAATACATTATTGAACAGGCCAAAAACGCAATGAAGGAAAAATGTTTGAGCAAACTGTTCTGGAAACATGTAATGGGGGGCCTGGAAGGAGGCATACAACAGTGAACAGGAGACGTTAGGATGAGCCAGTAAAGGAGGTAAGTGACAAAAACATGGAGGAAAGAATAGGTCCCAGAGATACCAAGAAAGAAATGGGCTGGCCAAGGTTTAAAACACTAGGAATGGATGTTGGATAAGGCGGGCTGTTAGAGGAAAGATGAGACACTTCAAACTCTCAAAAGCTGTTAACCCAACTCAAAGGGAAATGACACAGGGACCGTATATCCTACACCTGCTAAAATCGTCCCATTTCAAATATTCTATTCCACTCTCCTCTACTAAAGGTCCTGGAAAACCCAGGTTTTCAAATCCAGGCTTCATTCACCAATTTCCTCTCTAACCTGCAGGTGGCCAAAAAAAGACCTGCACGTTTGCAGACGTGCCTCTCATTTTAAATGAATACTTACTGTCTGAACATGGAGAAAAAAATGAATGAAAAATGTGGCCATGTAAAAACTTCTCTATGTAAAGACATTCTTAAAGTTAAAATATTAATCATAAATTCAGATATAGTACCTGTATCTGTACTATACATGACAAGAAAAAAAAGATAATAAAACTTATAGAGCTCTTATGAACTATTTAAAAATGAAGCACAATTAAGATTCCAATAGCTTCAACGTAACTAGTAACTAATGACATACATATTAAAATAACTATGAGGCTGGCCAAGTGGCTCATTGGTTAAGAGCTCGCTTGGGAGCAAGGCCGCCGGTTCGGACCCACATGGGCCAGTGACACTCCCCTCTACAGCTAAGATGGTGAACAACAGCTCAACCTGGAGCTGGGCTGCCGTGAGCCGCCGTGAGCGGCCGTCCAATGACCAGAGAGCGACTGCCTCACCCGGGAAGAGCACAAAGATCACAATACCAACATGGGCCAGTGAAGCAACGTTCTCCACAACTAGCCTGAAGAACCAAAGGACAGCAACTTGTCTGTTCCCCTTCCCCGATTCCCCAACACTGTTCCCTCCCTCAATTATTCCCCAATGAAATCTTTTCAAAATAAATAAATAAATAAACTACGGTACAGAGTTTGCCATCAGATTGCTAACTGCTGTCCACCTGGAATGCCTGGTGGTGTTATGGGCAGAGAAAAGCAGACATTTTCAAACACAAGGGGATCAAAATGTTTGGAACCTTTGGCAACACATCCTAGAATTTAAAATGTGCAAATCTTTGACCCAGCACTTCTACTTTTGGAAATACATACCAAGGAAGTAACTAAACAAAGCTAAACAGACATATATGTACAAGATGTTTGTCTGGCATAACACTGTTTGGGATATTGAAAAAGTATTAAGTTACACACACATAAGAGTAACAGAATACTACGCAGCTGTTAAAAATGGCTGTGTATAGAAAGAGAATCATAAATAGTCCACTATCAAGTCAAACAATCTGATTATCAATCAGGAACACTAATGAAAGTGAGGCAAGATAGTTTCAAACAAACCAAAACATTTCTGGTCATCATTTTAGCAAGGTGTATCAAGACCTTTTTTTTAAATAACGTATTTCTTTGACCCAACAAATTCTACTCTGTGGATCTGTTCTAAAGAAATAATCAGATATTCACAAAGATTTATGTATACAGACGTCAAAACCATTATTATTTTTAATGGTAAAAAAAAAAAAAGACAAATCTGTTTTCCAACATAGAGCAAAGACTAAATAAATGATAGCACAGAATGTGATAGTCTTAAAGTAATATTTTAAAGGCTAATTTATCGCAAGAAAATGCTAATGTCAGGCCAGCCAAGTGGCATGTTGGTTAAGAGTTGGCTTGAGATGCCAGCTCTGAGCAGCGGGGCCCTGGTTCGGATCCCACATGAGGGCCAGTGACACTGCGCCCTCTACAGCTAAGATGGTGAACAACAACGTGACCTGGAGCTGGGCTGCTGCGAGTCGCCAGCAATGGCATAGGCTGCAGTGGGGCTGGCTGGCAGTGGGTGTGAGCTTTCATGAGCTGCACTGAGCAGCGGTGAGCGACTGCCTCACCCAGGAAGAGCATAAGATAATACCAACATGGGTGCATGAAGCAACATCCTCCACAACTAGACTGAAGAACAAAAGGACAGCAACTTGTCTGTTCCCCTTCCTTCAATTCACCAGCACTGTTCCCATCCCCCAATTCCCCAATAAAATCTTAAAAAAAAAAATGCTAATGTCACATTTAGAACACAGAACATCAACTGTTTATCATACTACTATGATCACAATTTTAAAGTCTATTTATTTTATAGCTATATAAATCTATATGCACAAAAAGAATGGAAAGAATTAAACAGACAAAACATTTGTCCCTTCTTTTCAATGATACATCAACAGAATTTGTAAAAGGAATGAAATTACAGTGGACATGCTGTTATATAGTCTGCCTGTTTGATCCTTAGGTATCCAGCAGGTATACAACAGCTCTCAATAAATATTATATTTGCAAATGAATACACCAAATTGCTAGCACTGAGTTAGCCCCTGGGGTGCGAAGGTGACTTTCCCTTATTTTTGTTTGACTCCTTTAAATTTTTGTGAATGACTTCTCTAAATTTCTATTTTATTTGGACAAAATCAGAAAGAAATCTGTAATCCATTCATGATACCTTTCTTCGACAAATAGTTTGAAACACAAAATTCATCAAATACATTGTCTCCAGCTACACCAAAATGTAAACAGTAATCTCTGGGTAATGAGATTATGGTTTTTTAATATTCTTCTTCAGGCTTTTCTATATTTTCAGCAATAGTCTGTAATGTGAACTTTTAAAAAAATATACTGAATTGTTAACAGTGGTGAGATTATGGTTAGGAGGGTTTTCTAGTTCTTTATGCTCATACTTTCTTATATTCTACAATGAGAAAATTCTACTATTTAATAAGGGAAAAAAAAATTTGGCTGGTCCGTGGAGTTGAATGAACCTAATAAAGCAAGAAAATGAGAACTTTAAGACCTGTGGACTCATGCAAGAAGGAAGAAAACTGAAAAGAAACGAAGTCTAAAGCTGAAAACTTCCCATCTCACATCTGGTCTAGAGTGGAAGAGGAAAGAGGCTAAAAGGAAAGATGAAGTCAAGTCCTCTTATAAAAGAGTAAGAAATAAGATCAACACCCTAGGTGAATTAGAGTTCTAGCCTTCTGCCAAGTAGGAGGGAAGGAGACAAACAGGAAAGGAAGCATCTAATTCAGTCTCCTCAGGAAAGTATAATCCAAACAGTCCATCATTAACCCCTGGAGGGTTAATCCAAGGGGAAAATTCTGGAAAACTCATGTCAGGTAAAAGAAGAAAAATAAATGAGTGACAAGGGGCTTACCGTTGGCCCTCCTTCTAATGGGGGGGGGGGAGGAGAGGAATACAGTAACTGATCAAAGGCTCATGCCAGCTCTAGAAGAATCCCTACACAATAAATGCCTGCAGAACACAGGTTTCAGAGTTACACCTAGATTTACACCATTAACTGGCACCGTGACCTCCTCCCATCACATAGAAGACCCTCCAGAAACCACTTAATTATTCTGTTTTTACATCTACTACAGATAAAATTACCTTTTTCACAGGCCTTACTTTTCACATAAAAAGGTAAATTATGTTGGCCATGCTGAGCCTCTTTGGAAGAAAAGGAAATATGTAAACACAAAAGTGTTATCAGTAACCTAGGAGAAGGAAATTTTTAGAAGCTAATCTAAGATCACTCCCTTCAAGAATAATCTTCAATTTGCAGGAAACCTTATCACAATGTCACAGAAAAGACAGACTTTCGTGTTTATAGCTGGGGCTTTCCCATGACATAACACTTTATGTAGTATGGAGCTGCTGTAATATACTACCTTACATATGGAAAAAATCAGTTTGTCCAGTAAAAAAGTTAACTTACAACTGTCCTCTGTTAATGGCCTACGTAAATTACCACCAGTCTGCTTCTGTCTCCCTTTAGGGTCAAGAATTACAAGGTAACATTAAGGATGAAGATTGAAGAACTTACAGAATAAATTAAAACCTTTTCAACTCGGCTTGCACCTTACAATCCATTTCAACAGTCAACATGTTTCATGCTTCAACTGAATGTGTATTCTCTGTAATCACCCTATTCGAACTACCCAATAGTAAAAACCTCCCTGAATAAATGTATTCATTCTTGATAGCACAATTTTTAAAACTGTCAAAACAACTGGTTGTAATTAAAGAGCCTACGGCACCGTTCATTAAAGTGCTGGATACTTTGAACTGATTAGAGTCAATGTTTTAAGTCTCTCTCACTTTCTTTGGTTTAAGAACGTGACAGACTTAGGCCCTAATTTCCCAGTAAACAAAAGCCTCAATAAAACCTGGGCATTTTTTTTTTAAACCGAAGAGGATGATTTCCATACTGCCTCACTGTAGTCAGTCTTTAGCTACCCTATCGGTGAAGCAAGACAAGAGAAGCTACAAATCAAAACTCAACCCAAACTGTTCAGCGCGTACGGTCTGCAATGTCCCACTGTAGTTTACGAAGTTCATGCTCCTTGCCTGACAAAACCACAGGGCTTGGGAACGGGAAAGTGGCCTGAGGGGAGTCTTGGCAAGTCCGAAGCCCTGAGTCCGCAGAGGGAAAACCACGAAACACAAACCTAAACAAACGAAGGAGATGCAGACACTCGCTCCAATAAATGGTTATCTTACCCGAACGGCCCGCCCGCCGCCACCCCCGCACTGCACCGCTGATCCCCAGCTCAAGCCGAGATCCAGCCAAGTCTCCCCAGATCCTGGAGCAAATCTCGCTGTTGACCAGCCCACCCGACAATGAAGGTGGATGGGGGGAAGGGGAAGGGCGCCGCGGCATTCCGGGTCCCTTACCGTCATACTTGGGGTCCGAGCCTTCCGCCGGGAAGTCGATGGCAGGCGGCGCAGGCAGAGCCCCCGCTCCGTCGACTTCCGCCTCACGCTCCCGGGGTTCGGAGCTGCCCCCCAGCATCGTGGACCGCGCAAGGGCCACAGCCCAGCACGCCCGCCAGCTCAGGGCCGCTTTGCTCAGTTCCAGCTGCAATAGCCACCTAATCCGGAAATAGACCCTCACAAAACGGAAGCTCCGCCCCGACCCTCGCGAGCCGCTGTAGGGAGCGGGTCGTGCTGCAGGCTCCGCCCCTTCCGGGAGGGAGTGATGATGGACTGGTTCCGCAGGGACGTACTCCTGGCGTGGCCGCCTTGCCGGGTTGGTTCTCGGGCGGCGCCCTGCGTGGTGGTGGGGCTGGGTGCCCACCATGCACGAGTGGAACCCGGCTTGCGCTCCCGGGCACCTCTTCTCGCTGTCTTTTAGACCTCTGAGTACCCGCAGACGAATCAGAGCGCTCACATCTCACGCCAGGACTCGGGTGCTGCAGGTATTGGAATCTCGTGTCTACAGAGATTTTAATCCTAATGTTTACATTTTGCGGACACAACAGTGACTATTCGTCATTTGTTTAAAAAAAAACCAAAAACATCTACAAGACATTTACAAAAACATCTCGTTCAGTGTCAACGAGACACTGAACCTGTTTTGGTCAACCTTTAAACCGCACAAAACGGGAAATGCCAACTAGATTCCAACATGAATTCAACCTAACAAAAATTCCGCTGGTTTTGAGACTGAACTTTCAAGTAAAATTATTTCAAACCTGAGACAGCCTTTTAAGTGACCCCACTGTGGAGTGGCTTAAATTTTTTTTTGGTGTTTTAATGTTTATTTGATTTTTTAAATTTACATCACACGGAAAAGTTTAAAATATTCATGTACAGTTCAATACATTCTTACAGAGCAAAAACCTGTGTAACTACCACCCAAGTCAAGAAATACAGCCTTTTCAGATTGGCTTCTTGCACTTAATAATATGCATTTAAGGTTTTCCTATGTCTTTTCATGGCCTGATAGCTCATTTATTTTTAGTTTTGTCTCACGTATTTTGACACTGTTGTTAGGCACATACACATTAATGATTGTTGTGTCTTTTTGGAAAATTGACCCCTTTATCATTAGTTAATGGCCCTCCTTATCCCTGATAATTTTTCTTGCTCTGAATACTTTGTTGTCTCAATTAATACAGCTACTCGGATTAATTTTTGAAGCCCATAACTTCAAAACTCCGCCTTCTTTGCCTTGGATATGTCGCTGGTGGCGGTCGCCAATACAATGCTGTTGGAAATAATTCTTAGTTCACAGATCAGTTAATATAGCTGGAATACAAGCCTTTCAGATTTGGGGCTTCAATATCTGATGTGCAACATGTAAAAAATGGTATTGTTTAGCATTTTATTTGCGCATAGTTTCCATATGAAGTCTTACTGGATCTATTTAGCCTGATAGAAGCAGTGAAGGGTGTAGTTCTTCAAGAAACTTCCAAAGCTTCGGGATGTCCCTTTCCATGCCCTGCTGATAGGAAGAGCACAGCCTTTCTGGAGGGTGATTTATCTACATGTACCCATAGCTTTAAAAATACAAATACTTTTGACTCATCGTTTCCATTTTCAGGAATTTATTCTAAGGAACAGGTTAAGAAGGAGCAAAAAGATGTGGCTTAAAAGCTATTAATTGCAATACTAGTTATAATACCAAAAACAAGAAGACAATTGTCAAAATTAATTATGAACATCCATACAATGGCACACTTTTCAACCATTTAAAATATTAATGTGCAGTATGTAGTTCTCACCACTCTTCCACCACCACTAGAGTTGGGAGGAAAAACAAACATTCTGGTCAAAATATAAACAAGGCAACCTTTCTAGAAAATGATGTGCAACTTTAAAAGCTTTTAAAGAGGCATACTCTTTGACCTACATATAGGAATATATCCAAAGGAAATAGTGGTGAAAAAAGATGAATCTATAAGAACGTTCATCGAAGTGTAGCTTATAATAAAAAAGCATGGAAATAAATCCAAATTCCAAATAAAAGAGCAGTTAGGGTACATTCATGCAATGAAATCTTATGCAGCCATTTCAAAAAAATTAAGAAGAAAAAAAAAGGAGCAGTTTCTTCTCTTGGCTTCCATGATATCACACAATTCTAGTTTTTCTCTATTTTACTGGTCCTCCAGCTCATTATCCCTTTCTGGATCTTCCTCCAAATGTATAATTATGTAGGGCTCTTGTCATGTCATTCCAAAATCAGGAGATAACCACATGCATTGCTATCACTTTACATACCATCTATAAGCTGACCACTCCCAAATGTATCTCTGTGGCACAGGCTTTTCTTGGATGACTCAAAAGCATCTCAAATTTGTCTGAAAGTATGAACTCTTGGTATTCCCACTAAAACCTCTTTTCCATTACCCCTCTTCATCTATTTAAATAGAACACGAGCCTGCTGAGTGGCGCATTTGTAAAGAGTTGGCTTGGAACACCAGCTCTGAGCAGCAGGGCTCCGGTTCGGATCCCATATGTGGGCCAGTGACACTGCCCTCTACAACTAAGATGGTGAACAACGAAGATCGAACACCAGCTCCATCTGGAGCTGGGCCACCATGAGTCACTGGCACCGGCGTAGGCTGCAGCCCCTGCTGCAGTGGGCTGCCATGAGCTACCATGAGAGGCCGGCAGCCAGCGTGAGCTGCTGTGAGTGGCTGTCCAAGGCTGGCGAGCGACTGCCTCACCTGGAAAAAGCGCAATGATAATACTAACATGGGCCAGTGAAGCGACGCCCTCCACAACTAGACTGAAGAACAAAAAGGACAGCAACTTGTCTGTTCCTCTTCCCTGATTCCCCAATGCTGTTCCCCTCCCCCAACTCACCAATAAAATCTTTAAAAAAATAAATAGCACATAATCCACCCACTTGTACAAGCCTAAAACGTGAGTCAACCTTTATTCCATATCCAGAATATATCTAGGCGGCCTACAGATTAATTTTAAAAATAGAAACGTGATACAGCATATAAATATATATATTAAACAGACAGTTAACAGAAAAGGAAACCCAGATAGCTAATAAACATAGGAAAAGATGCACCAGTTTCACTAGTTACAGGTAAATGCAAATTAAATGATGAAATATCATTTCAAACTATCATATTAGCAAAATTGAAATTTTTCATATTGGTAAAGATATGGAGAAATAGAAACCATCATACATTGCTAAAGAACTATTTAGTGATATTAAGTCAAATGGTGTGTACCCAAGATCCAGTAATTAATCCCTCTGTAGGTTCCCTTTGGACCCACAGATAGGTGTATAAGGGTATTTCTTGCAACACTGTAATAACAAATTTGGAAATAACCTAATACCCATCATTAGGGAAATAAATAAATGTATTATATATGCAAACAAATATTATAGAACAGTTTGAATGAATCAACTAGATCCATGTCTTATCATGGACATTGAAAACAACAGTGAAAAGCATAAGTTGCAAAAGGCTATATAGTAATAATGATAATAATAATAGCAGCTAATGTTTATTGAACACTGTCTCAGTCCTACTCCCTCACCGTTTTAAGTGCTTTTACAAATATTAACTCATTCGATCCTCTTAACCAATTTACAGCTTTTCCCTCATAGTGAAGCAAAGACAAACTCTCTAAAGAGGGAAATTTCTTCATGGCAGGGGAGGGGGTCTCAAAATGGAAGTTGGCATCCCAGATTAGTCCTCTTTTTGGCAGTATAGGTGTGTGTCTATGTACATTTGTATGTCTGCGTCTGTGTGTGTGTGTGTATGTGTGTGTAGGCACAAATGCCTAGCCAGACCCTCCTCTACCTCCCCCATCAACAAGCCCCCTAATGTTCAGCCTTCCCATCAATATCCCATGGACTTCAAAGTCAGCTCTCTCAATTACGGGGCAGACATCAGTAACATCAGAGGATGCGCTCATTAGCTACCTTTATTAATCATCATGTTACATGAATACTTAATTATGGTTAGCCAACAGAAGGTATGTGCTATAAACCTTAATTGGATAAAATTAATGGTATATCCTCATGTTTGGAAGTAATGAGATCGGAAGAGGATGAAATTTCTCATCTATTTAATGGGGAGTTAAAAGACACTGTCTTGGGCCAGCCAAGTGGCACGTTGGTTAAGAGCTGGCTTGGGATGCCATAGGGCTCTGGTTCGGATCCCACATATGAGGGCCAGTGACACTGCCCTCTACAGCTAAGATGCTAAACAACAGCTTGACCTGGAGCTGGGCTGCCGTGAGTCACTGGCTACTGTGTAGTCTGCAGCCCCTGCTGCAGTGGGTTGCCATGCGCTACC